CTACCCAAGTAACGTTTTCAATGGTCTTTCCCTGAATAATTAAAACACGGTCTTGAAGGCTGAACTATTCTAGACGTAAATAATTTCTTAAGTAAACAAAACTACTACTCTATCAGTTGACATGTCATGCAAGGTCCTACAATAACAGTAATAGTAATTAGCATATACTAAATCAGTAGAGAGCACTCAAGACGCACTCTGAATAGTAACTCAAACTCCAAATATCCTTTGCTTTTTACCTCCGAGCAACTCGCGCGAGATTTGCGCCGCCCGAAAATATTGTAATCATTGTAGGAATAAATGAGTGGTGAAAATCATCTTTTTGTGCTGTATTATCTCACTGTTTTAGCATACACTAAAACAGCTATTCACCTTAGTGTTGGTGGTTAGCGGTGGACATTTACCGGGGTCGCTTTATGGTAATGAAAAGCTGTTAAATAATCAGTGACATTAGATAACTTGGATGCATACATCGGTTTCAATGCATCTCAGACGTCAAAACTAAAATCTTAACAGAAATACGTTTTATCAAGCGCCACTCAATGTATTCAGACAATAGAGAACAACAAGAAAGATATCCTTATTTTCTCGCGATTCAGATCACAGTAGTTGAACTCCCTTGTGAGTTTTCATACTTGTTTGGCGGCCTGGCGCTTACTGTGCTGAATATACTTCTGGAAAATACATGTACTCATTTTTTGTTTCACAGTAATTATTATTTTTTTCAAAGTGGTCCATATTTCTATAGCGAGAGATTTAGGAAAAGAAATCTGGAGATAAAATATGTCAGCATTCAAAGCACGTGAGGACGATTGGGTTCTTTGATTAACTTGACGTTAGCGTCTTGACAGAAATGTAAACAAGCCTGTATGAAGTCTCGGCCATGCAGAGTCATACAGTGAATAGTTACATCTTCGAACCAACGATGATCACAATTATGCGAAATGGTTTGAAACGACTGTAAATGTTCAAAGATTAGAGATATTGAAGCTGTTTAAGGCTTGTTTCAGTGGGATTTGGAAAATCTTCAACTGTGGAGAAATAATAACTTAACGGGATCAAGTGAATATAGACAGTTTACAACCTCTTGACGGAGTGTAATGTTGAGAAATAATACAAAGAGACGAGACGCCATGTCAGTATTCAAATTACTTACTATACATGCGCCGAGTGTGTTGGAATATGGCGATATTAATACGAAGTTTAACGCAAAGAGTTTGCAGTACTACAACGTTTACGAAAACAGTGAACAAATAAAAAACATGTTATTCGTGTAATGATAATTTTTCCAACTTAAACCACGTAAATTTTTATACTTTTGTCGCCATAAAACATGCTGACTTTTTTACTCTCTCTCTCCTCTTACCTCTAAAATGAGACTTGAACTTAATGGAGACTGCAAAATTTGACGCCTTTCATTCAAACAGCCTGCTTGCACTCCAAGAGGTTTCAGTATCTATTGTTGGTTACACAACTTGAGAACACACTGTCTATCCAAGAAGCGATCACCTTTTCAGCTGATAAAAATATATTTCATGAAACGACTACAGCAAATAACAGCAACAGCAACAGGGTCGCCCCAGTTTGCATGGAGGAATTATAACTTACCTGGTGAGGTTAAAAATCTTAAGCAATCCTTTGCTTTCAACTATTCCA